ATGTTCAATCTGAACCATATGCCATACTGAATGCTTTCCAAATCTGAATATATCTTCTTTGCCTCAGTTTCCTCAACTTTAAAATAGAAATAATGATAGTACCTTCCTCTTAGGTTTACTCTGAGGAACAAATGAGATATTTGTAAAGTGTTCAGCAAAGTAGCTGGCACATTGTAAGGCATTTCATAAATGCTTAATCCCTTCCCCTACGACATGCAGCCTCTCAATGTTTCCTCCCAAGTCCAATTTTCCTGACCTTTAACCATCTTAGTAGCCTTTGTCTTCATTGTTTGTAACTTTATACATTCTTTACACTCCCCCTTAAACGTGATCCCGAGAACTGGACACTACCTTCTAATGGTCACAGCAGGTATCTTGACAAGGAGTTTCTCCATGCTCTATGTGCTATATACAGTTGGCTTCTGAGGGCTATACTAGGGTTTATAGCACTAAATTCTTGCTGCATTTAATTCAACTGACTTCTGAGCATATCTCCAAGATTATGAATCTGCCAAGGCTATTTTAAATTCTGGTCAGAGGCTCTTTCACACTGCCCAATTATACAACTCACATCTCATCATCCTCCATTCTCCCCTTGGCTGCTATTTTGAAAGATGCAGTGGTGCTTCTCCCTGACAACTCCTCTGCTTGTGCCCTTGATGTCATGCTTTCCTTTCTCTCCTAAGAACCTGTTCCCTCTGGTACTGATTACTCGTCCATCTATAAAACTGTCTAGATTATCCCTGATTTATTTTTTTAAAACTCTTCATTTTATCCTACTATCCTCTCAAGGTACTTTTCTATATTTCTCCTCTCATAGTTCAGTTCCTGGGGGTGGGGGGGAACTGTCTATACTCTTTATTTTCACTGTCTCACCTCCCACTCACTACTCAACTCCCTATAAACTGGCTTTCAACTCCTCACTCAACTGAAACTTTTCTCTTCAAGGTCTCTTCACTGACAACTTCAGTGGTTTTTCTTCAGTCCTCATGCTTTTTGATCTCTCCTCTGTGTTAGATGTGTAAGCCACTCACTCCTAGTGGATGTGCTTTCCTCTATGAGTTTTTGCGATGCTGTTTTTCCTGAATCACCTCCTACATCTCTTACCACTCCTTCTCAGTCTCCACTGCAGGAAATATATGTCTTGCTTTCCATGTCTGCTTGGTTTACAGAACAGGAGCATAAAAAGTTCTGACTATGGGGGAAGGAAGGTTAGTATTTCTTAAATCTAGCAAATATCTTACAGACCTGGTATATTTGGAGTCAGAAGAGAGTAGTTTTTATTTTAAGAAAATTATATCTTTTTAATTATATTATAAGCAAATTTATTTTTTATTGAATTTTATGGTCTGCAAATGTTATATTGCATTCCAGGACTAAGACAAAATCATTCCCTTTCTAATTCTTTCTTCCATAGCTCTCATTTTTCTTCCAGATTTTTTCACTCAAGTACTCTCATTTCATTTATTCAAAAAAATTAATTATTTTTTAACGCTTGCTTCATCTCTTCCATGAATTACAGTTGAATTTGTGCCCAAGTTGTATTTTCTCTAAGTCTTTGCTTGTAAAGATGTTTTGGAATCATTCTCTTCTGTGTTTGTCTTGTCAAGCTTTCCCACCACCATGATAGCTCATTATGGTGTGGTCCTTTTTGACTTTGCCCATTCTTCCAACTTACTTCTTGACTTCATACTTCATGTTATGATGGCCTTTTCCCTGTGAAGGAAAGATTTGGGCTGGTCCAGTTGCTGTTTTCTTGGTGTATTGAGTGTTCTGCTATTCTAGGTTCTCAGGGACAGGCTAGGGACTGTAAGCTTTCAGTACTCCAAAAGTGGTCTGATCTTGGGCAAAGTCTGATTACTGGTCTGAGCTCTGCAAGTTCCTGAACTACAATTCTGCCACATTTTATATTCAAGGAGGTCAGACCTCCTCAGTTTGTCTAGTTTTGCAATAATTAATAATAAAGTCTAGTACAGTTACGCATCAGTCAATAAAGGACAGTGTGTAAAAAATAGATGCTTGGAAGAATGGCATGCTTGGCTTTATCAAGTCAGTAGGGAAGTAGAAGGAATCCTTAAATTAATAGTATGGCATTAGGAAAAAAAACACTAAAGTTAAGGAAACAACTTCTCGATTCAGAATAGTTTCTAATCTGAAGTGAGGCATGCTGATTTTTAAACAAAAACAAAAACCTTCACTTACTCTCTACAACTTTATTATAAAATGAGGCTTTAAAGATGTGATAACTATAAGAATTCATTTGAGTAGCCAAAAATTTGTGCTTCTTAAATTTCAAGTATTCCAATGAAATATAAACAATTAGCTAGGTGAACTAGGCTAAAGTAGCCTTCCTACTATTTGAAATCCAATCCATCTTTCACTTTTCCAGAAGCCAATTTAGATACAAAAGCACTAATCTAAAAGTCTTGAAAATGGATTCAGGTCCATGCTTTGTCAAGAAAAAAAACCTGGGTAAATACAAACATAATACCTAAAGTTCCAAATCAACAAAAAGAATAATTCTTCATAATTTTATCCTGTATTAGCATTCATATTTTTATATTTATGTCAGCTTTATGTTGAACATTGTTAGCTATACAGATATCTAAATACTCAACACACGTATGCAGGACAATTATTACGCAATTTGCTTTTTTACAATATATTCCTGGAAATCTGGCAAAAGAAAAACAATTAAAAGGTGGGCTAATCATGCATGAATGAACTGTTGCATTCATCTGCCTAAGTATGTTCAGTGCCTTTCCCAGAAATTATTAAATAAGTAGGTAAGAACAGAGTAGGAGGTATTTATCAGACAGCATTGAATAATTTGAGTAATGAAATACAAAATAGCCAAAAACAAGAACTACCTGTCCAATAAATGCAGATGTTTTTACAAATATAAATTTTAAACTCAATGCCACATTTATGTAAAGGTATTAAGAGAAGCATAGCATGACTGCCATTTTTCCCTTCAAAGAGCATGACAGGAAGACTGAAGAGTTATTTTAAAAAGTAAAATAAAATCTTTGTGTTACCACTTAACCAACTGCTCTCAATTCTACTTTCAGTCAGTTATCAAGTCCTAACACCACAAACAAAATAATAAGGCCACTCAACACCTAATGGATATAATATTGGCAAAGCACTTCAAGGTCTTCTAAGGTAAGCTAATCTAAAAACACAGAGCAGCCTTATTGCTTTACATACTCTCAATAACTGGGCAACAATATAAGTCAAATATAATAGAGATTGGAGAACAAATAAAATGACTTCAGACAAAATGAAAGTTTTTTTCCTTTATTTTTTTGCCTAAAATCGAGTTTTGGGTTTTCTTAAGCAGAGGTACTGAAGTGGTTTGTCATTTCCTTCTCCAGCTCATTTGTCAGGTAAAGAAACCAAGGCAAATAGTGTTAAGTGGTTTCCCCAGATTCACACAGCTAGTAAGTGTCTGAGGCCAGATTTGAGCTCAGGAAGAAAAGTCTTCCTGAATCCAGACCCAGCACTCTATCTACTGTGCCACCTGGCTGCCCAGTGTCTAAAAGCAAACTGTCAAATGTCAGACCAATTCCTTAAAAGCTATACAGTGTTCTCTATGGCAGAGATTGATAGCATGAATTCACAGTAGAGTTGCCAGGTACCTGACCTGGGCATTATCAGGAGAGCCACGACACACAGTAATAATTTAGCATGCTCTTTTTTCTTTCATTTAAGCTTACTCTTTTTTTGTTTGCTTGTTTTTTAAAGGCAGTTGGGGTTAAATGACTTGCCCAAGGTCACACAGCTAGCAGGTGTAAAGTATTTGGTCAGAGGTTGGATTTGAACTCAAGTCTTCCTGACTTCAGGGCCAGTGCTCTATTCACTGCACCAGCTAGCTGCCCCTAAGCTTACTCTTAATAAACAAGAAAGACATGATGCAGAAGAATGAATGGTAGATTTGGAGTCAGAATGCCTGGGTCCTTCCCTTAGGCTCTGCCACTTACTATCTGTGTGACCTTACTATCTGTGTGAGGCCTTTCTTGTCCTCAATTTTATCATCTGTGGCTGATCAAACACCTGGACTATATATCCTCTAAAGTATTTCTTTCAATATATAATTCTATATGAAACTGAAAAGAATTTTCTTTTCATTTTTAGTATCTCAAGCCTTCACTAGATATCACCCCAGAGACAGGGAGAAGTCAACAATGAAACATAAGCTCAAATGAAACAGTTGGAATAATTATAATTTAGGTACAAGCACAGCCTCCTTTTTTTTCTTTTTGTCAATTTAAAGTCATAGGAATCAAAACCTAAGACACTAAAGGAGCATAAACATGCACTAAGAAAATATTTAAAATAGCCTTTAACCAACATTCATGCTAATAACCTCATGAAACAGTCTGCAGTCCATGACATATGCCTATCACAAAATATTAGTATATATGATCAGTAAAGATTATCAATGCCAACTCAGCTAAATGATGATAATCATAGGCACTTCAAATGTTTGCAGAAATATTTCAGGGCCTGCCCATGACACCTGAAAATATAATTCATTCACAAATGTTGGCAAATATACATTTTCAAGAAGCAATTAAATCAAAAGAATAAGCATTTATTGAGCCCCTACTGTGTATAAGCTGTTGTAAGGATTGGAAATAGTATCATTAAAGACAGCTTAGGTTGCAACATCAACATAGACAACATGTACAGAATTACATGTAATTGATTCAGATTTAATCTTGAAGTGCCTCAAATGGAGATAATTCAAAATGGCAGTGATAGCATCAATGTTTAGATAGATTTTTCCATCTTCTTGACTTTCTCACTTCTACTAATTAATTGTTCAGGTGAGAAACCCAGCATAAAAACCTTGAAAGAGAAAGTTCAGGGCCTCCATTTACAAATTCAAAAAGGGACAAGTTGTCTTAGAAAAGCCTATTAAACTATGTGTTGAATTGGTATCTGGCAACAGCAATGGTCTGGAAGATGAGACACGTGAACGTTGGTGCAAATGATCAGGATTCTAGCAAGGTATGCCACCTGCAGATCTGCTGCCCCTTGGTTTCCTTCATTTCTCGCCAATGGTCTTGTTCCTCCTCTCCACTGCTGTTCTGACCCAGTGAAATCCATCCAATCATTTCTTTGCGCCTCATAGTACGTCGATTATAAATTGAGATCATCAAAGTGACGTCAGAGAGCTGAAAGAGGGCTACCTGGAAAACAAACGTTTCCTTGTAAATGGGATTTGGCTGCCCTCTTCTAATGGATGTCTTACAACGGGACATCTCGTGACCCACAGAGTTGAGAAGAAAGAGCTTCCCATAGGTATCTGTGACAGGGAAAAAAATAGGGGAGGGAAGAGAAAAGAAAAAAATATTAATATGTGTCACTCATTTGTTGCCTCACTACCTACCTGCCAGCTCATTCAAGTTTTCAGTAAGTTCCTCCTTCCTTTATATTGAGAAATAGTTTCATACTTGATAGGTAGAAATAGGTTAAATGCATGGATTGTTAGAGAAAATTTTCTGGATCTTTACTAGTTAGTATGCTGTACTGAGATATATGCCTTCTATAAGAATACATTCAAGGGAAAGTATGGAAAACATCAATATATCCGTAAAACTCTTGTACACATTGACACTAGAGTCAATACTTCTGTACATTTTGCTTTGTAGACATCTTTCTTTTTTATATCTAAAATAGACAACTAGTTATTAATGCATAGAGCAGTGGACCTGGAGTCAGAAAGTCAGACTCAGATATTCATTAGCTGTGTGATTCTGTGAAAAATCATTTAACCCTCTGTTTGCCTCAGTTTCCTCAGCTGTGAAAATGGAAATAATAGTAGCACCTGTCTCCCAGGGTTATTGTGAGGATCAAATGAGAAAATGCTAGGAAAATGCTTAGCACAGAGCCTGGCACACAATAGGTAGGCACTTAGTAAATGCTTGCTTGCTTCCTTCCTTCCTAAAATATATTAGAAAAAAGCTTTTTAATTGCTAATGACTGATTCAGATTTTGAATGAAACCTATTTGTGTTCCCAACTATGCTTTCTGGAATATTTGAATGATGGGCAAGTCACTTTAGATCCATTCAAATCCAATCTTGAAATAGGACTAAGTCCACAGAGATCTACACCTTGGAAAACATGCTGTATTTTCTAGAGGATAAAGGGGAATTAGGAGATTGCTTATTTTAAAAAATAATACTGATAATAACCTATAGTTGGCATATCTAATATTGCAAATGCTGGACGTGGAGTTGTCTCCATGTGATCAAAACATAGTACATGTCTCGCTTGAGAGCCTGGTTATATTATGTCAGCTCTTTATCTCTAAACATTTGTTTCTGGTATCCCCTGGGATATAGTCTTTGCCAAGGCCTCCAGACTGGATTCTATCGTCATGGAGCATTATAATTATGATATAGCACTCTGCTTGAGGCATTTCCCACAGTGGTGATTAGCAGTATGACCTTGGTCAAATTCCTTCACCTCTTTGGTCTGTTTTTGAATCTATAAAATGAAATTGAAAATACCAGCTTGATCTGCCCTGTTTCACAGCACAATATGTAAGTGACAAGCACTCTTTATAAAGTTGCTCCCATCCAGAAAGGAAAAAGAAGAATCCAATGCCAAAATAGTATACTACTTTTGCACCTTTTCCAGAGTAGAACATCATAAAGGATAATTCCTCTTGGACAGTCTATCACACTTATGTTCACCTTACTTAAACGTGATGTCTCAAATTTCTATTAACTACTGGAGTATTTTACAGTGTTTCTCACTAGCCTAATGTGTAAGCTGTTCTTTCAAGAATCAGTGTGTCAGGGTGTTTTCCCAATTCAATCATTCTATAAATCTCATTCAATGTAGGCTGCAAGTTGATTCGTGCTTATTTGCTCACTCTCCTACTGAACCACAATTCTAACTTTTAAAAGTGTAAATCCAGATTTCTGCAATTTTCTGTTCCCTCAAAGTGCTTCTAAGAAAGGAAATTACAACCTGCAGCTTTCTCTGTGTTGATCTTTTTTTCCCCTATTCCCATTTGGTGTGTTATTTTATGCACTTATCTGCTGAGAAACACAAGGTGTGAAATTACACATCAGGTGTGAAAACACTTCTCTGTCTCAAAAGCAGGGCTCTCCACTCTTCACACTGTTCCACAAAAAAAGCTGTCAAGAAACTGACAATTGGAAGGCAAACTGTGAGGTTCCACAGCTGCCCAGCCACATAATTCTTACAAGAAAAGTTCGATCCAGGGCCCAAACTACTCATGCAATTTTGGTGCCAGCATAACCTTAAGGATTGAGGTTGACCCTGTAAACAAAACTCTGCACATTAAACGAAGAACAATCTCAGGGGTTATCTTGCCACATGGTTGTTTTCTGATTATGGAAAAGGGTGGCTTAATACAGTAACTGAATTTGCTTGAGATGAATTGTAATGTGTCACAAAGTGCAGGAGCAAGGACAATAATTTATTAAACAATCCAGACACCTGAGTATAGAAGGGAAAAGATGGGCCAAATGTTTCCAGTAGGCCTGATGCTAAAATGAACATTTTGTCAGCAGCAACATGCCTCGTGCTAAAATACCATGAGATAAGCCTGCCTGTAGAACATTTGGACAGCTGGTAATTGTAGGCCCGGTTTTGGACAGCTGGTAATTGATTTTAGTGCAGTTAATTTGACTGCTGAGTTTTAGTAAACTCCCATTCAAGTCAATAAACAAGTATTAAGCACCTACTATATACAAGGCTTTGTGCTAGACACTAGAAATATTCTAATATTCCAATGGATTTGTGATCTCATCCACATGGGTACCAAAGCTATATCTAAGTGGGACATGGAGCTTTGTCCCAGGCACCAGCATCTAAGTAGGTATCACTGTAGCCCTGAAATCCTGCCCTTAAGTGAGATTTGGGGACAAGAAAGGGCTGGGGTAGGGTAAAGGAATTGGGAAAGGAGATTGGGGGAAGAGGGTGAATGAATAGGCCACCCCGTTCTCCTGACACTATTGCACCTACTGCAGACCTATCTCTCCTGGGCCTATGTGTCTTTCCCAGCTTTCAAAATCTATTTCCCCTACTATCTATCCCCATATCCTTATCCCTTTCCTGCCTAGCTCTAGACTTCCTCAGTCCTTGCCTTCTAAAATTCCTCTTCATATTAGATCTTTTCTTCTTATACTATCTGTCTTCTGGTGATCATAGAAACTTAGCTTTATCCTGAAGGAACCACTTTTCTTAGGACCCTCTTTAAGTCTGGCTGCTTTCATAAACCAGGATACAGGGCTAAATAAGAGTAGGAATTCCCACATTCCTTGCTCCCCACTGCTACTTTCAGTCACAACCCCCTGGCATAGCATCATTATTCTCTCTTTCTCTCTTTTAAAGTTCTCTCTGTTCTGTCTAAATTTGTCCTATTATCTGTGTATCTCTAGGTCACTCTCCCTCTTCCTCAATAAGTACCTCTTCTCCAGTAAAACACTTGACCCTTTGATTACCCTGGCTGCCCACTTCCTCAACTTCCATGACCTCTGTCTCTATTCTACTTCACCCGCACATAGAAGCAGCCCAGGGTTTTATTATTCTTTCACTCCCACCCTGACTCAAATGAATTTGAGAGACTTCTATAGTTATCCCTTCTACATCATGACTTTCCCTGTTGCGGTTTTGATATATCACAGGTCGGCATAAGAAATTAAATGGGAATTTGGGGGCAGTTTTGAGGAAGCTGCAGACAACACATGAAGGCCAGCAGACAAGATGGAAAAAGTTTAGAAACTCAGAAATACATAAAATATACATATAGCATTATATGATATCAACATATTTTGTCTTTTAATACCATAATAATTCAGACTTCTCTGGTATAAAGAGAAGGCCAAAATATTTTACATGGATTTTCCAGATTGCACCCCAAACTCCCATGATGTGGAAGAGATAACTATAGTCATAGTTCTGATGACTATTCCCTCAATCATGCAGATTACAACTTATCCATGTTTGACCATCTATTGCCACTTGTCTATAACTCCCTTTAAATCAGTCATAGAGGAATCACTCAACATGCTAACACCCTTCTTCTCTTTCTCATGATGTGTTCTAATTATACAGGCGCCAAGGATGCACAGTATCCCTCACTTCCTCACAAAAAAGTGCCCTCAAGGAACGGCTGAGGGACTCTGGGCAAACTACTTAACCTCTCTTCTCCTCAGTTTCCTCACCTGTAAAATGGGGAATGATAACAGCAACTACTTTACAGGGTTATTGCGAGGATCAAATGAGATAACTTATGTAAAGTGCTAGTAAATCTTAAAATGTATATATATATACATATAGCATTTTAAGATTTACTAGCATTTTACATATATATGTATATTTATTAGTGTATATATATATTAATAGTAATAAATTATCAGGATCATTATTGCTATTAGTGTTTTAATATTAGTTATTATATATAATAGTATAGAGAGTATATATCTATAGAGAATGATATATTCTACATATAATTATATAGAGAATAACATTATTCTAATCAAAATCATTAGAAAATGGGGTGTCTAATTAAAAATTCTAGTTAACTTAGTGTTACTAGATATTATCAATTTTCAAACAACTAGAATATACCATATTAAATTTATAAAATACTTAAGTATCTTACATAGCCTTTGAATAGTGGTGTTAAAGTGGGCCAGTATTGATTTAGAAAACCACAAAATTCTTTCAAAAAGCATAGAATTTCAGAGTTGTAAAGGACCATACAGAGGCCATACAGTCCAACCTATACTTGAAAAAGAATCCCCACTACTATTATTATTATTATTATTATGAATTATTGATGTTAATTGATATCAATAATGGTGACCCTAAGGCAGAGGTGTCAGCCTCTACAGCCAGCAACTACGATGTTATACAAAACAACCAATGCTACCTGGAACTGGTTTAAAATATAATTGGGAAATTTCTAACAAAATAAGTAAAATTTGTATTTGGGTCTCATACAAGCTAGAATCTGAACAGTGGGATAGCTCATCAGTTAAAAAAAATACTTCTAAAAGCTAACATAAGGAAGGCTTGCACTTTAGAAACAATCTGGGGCTTGGCCCTTTGTTCTCGGACTCATGTTAAGCAAATTTTAATAACTTCCTAATGAACTTATCCTAGTATTTTGTTGCAAGATAGCTTTCTGTATTTGTGCCTGATCCCCCAACTAGACCATAAGTTCCGTGTACTTTATATCTCCAACAATGGAGGTACACTACACCCAGTGGATGTTCAGTAAATATTTTAAATCAATGCTTTGTTTATTAAGATTGTTATT